GACCGCAAGACTCTTGCATACTCGGTCTCGGTCTTGCGTAAGTCTTGCAATGCTAAGTCTTGGTCTTGCATAAGTCTTGCAATGGTCGGTCTTGGTCTTGCAGTCTGATAAGTGGTCTTGTTCTTGGTCTTAGTCTTGCTTTTTCTGCAAGACCAAAACCAAGACCAAGACCAGTCTCGCTCATCACTAGAATTAAGTTTCTTGGAATTTAGGAAGTTTTGCGAAAATTTATTATTTGTAGAGAAATTATTAGGTTTTATTGCTTTGTTCGACGAACTCTGCTGTAAAGATTCCAATGCCTTGCATTTGCTTTCAAGAAAATTGTACAGGTTTGCGTAAGTCGGAATTTCGATGTCACTATACAGGGTGTCCCACGGTGGATGGCGTATTAGACGTTTATGGAGAACTAAAAAGCGAATCATTTTGAAAATTTGGCAACCGGGATAAACGACCATAATCTACACTTTAAAAATATTTTTGGTTATGCAGTGTTGCCGCTTCTACTCTAAACCAGTGGCAACGTCGCTATTTTAAATGAAAAACCCTATATGTGATTGCATATTTGGATTCTACGTAAAATTCTGAGCAGATTTCTTGTGACATACTCTATACCTAAGTTCAACTGTTTTGGAAATATTGACAGTTGGAAATTGACTTTTTGCAACTTTGACAGGCTGTAAAACCTAAACGGTCAATTTTAGAGGAAAGCCGATTTTACATTCCTCTTAGATTTTCAAGAGCTATCATTTGACACCAACTTTGAATTTAACCGGAGATTAAATTTAATTGGAATTTTTAATCATGGATTAAATTCGAAATTGGTGTCAAATGATAGTTTATGAAACTCTAAGATAGGAATGTAAAATCGGTTTTTCTCTAAAATTAACTGTTCCGGTTTTACAGCCTGTCAAAGTTGCAAAAAGTCAATTTTCAACTGTCAATATTTTCAATACAGTTGAACTTAGGTATAGGGTATATCACATGAAATCTGGTTAGAATTTTACGCAGAATTCAAATATGCAATCACATACAGGGTGTTCCATTTAAAATAGCGATGTTGCCACTGGTTTAGAGTAGAAGCGGCAACACCGCATAAACAAAAATATTTTTAAAGTGTAGATCATGGTAGTTTATCCCGGTTACCAAATTTCCAAAATGATCCGCTTTTTAGTTCTCCATAAACGTCTAATACGCCATCCACCGTGGGACACCCTGTACAATTTTAATTCAAATGTAGTGCGGGTATTAATGTCTAATTTATCTAAAAGCAAAGTAAATAAAATAAAATCCCATTCACCTGTAGGAAACTGAAGAGCTTTCAGAGCTGCTAGTGATTCTGAAAAACAATTTAGTAATGACCTTAAATCCCTAGCGGTATCGTTTTTTTTAAGGTAGCCGACATAATTGAATGCATAGCATTTGAAGCCAAGAGGCGTTTATTTTGGTACCGTTTCACTAACTTGTCATATGCTATTAGATAATTGTTATTTGTAATTTGTATACCGCCTAAAAGCTTTAGAGGTTCATCTTCTAAATAGGCAAAGAGATATTGTAATTTTTCTACATCAGACAAAGAAGGATTTTCATGAATTAGTTTTTTGTAAAGGTCGTAAAATGAGGGCCAAAGCTTTTGGTCACCCTTGAAAATAGGCAAGTTTATATGTGGAATCTTTATAGATGAAACGACGTTGGATTGAGCAGTCGGCGCCGATGTACCTTGAGTATTTATCTGAGGAAAGAGTGTCGTGTAAACAGAAATCGTTTCGTAATAGTAATTATCGATGTCTTTCCTTATTTTGTCTTGAGCTTTGAAGTCACTTTCCTCAGAAACCTCCATGATTATTTCATTATGTACCTTCCCAAACTTTTCATAATGATCCTTTAGCTCTCTATACCGCCTGAAGTTGCCCTAACATGCTTTTATCCGTCTTCGCTCGAACAGTGAGACGTCAAACCTCTGTAATGCGTGACAAATGAACGCTTCTCTTAGCCTCTAACATTTTAATCTCGGAAGTGGGCGCCATGGTAAATCCAAATTCTTATTATGTGATATGCAAGAAAATTGAAAGTGAATAATTTCTGTCAAACTATTCTGAAAATTGTAGGTAATTGTAACTGTAATAGTTGTAGAGCAAAATAAAATTTAGAACAAATTAATTTTATTTTATTTTAATTATTATGAAAATTCTAATAATTGTAATTGTAAAGTGAAATAGTCAACCATCCAAGGACCTTTTTTTTCAGTTATACATGTAAACCCCATACTTTGTGCGGGGCTTGCTTACATCAAGTCCTACAACTTTTCCTCTACGACTTTTCTCGGAAATGGCACGTATGCGCGCAGGCGACTTGCAAACATGTCGATCTGACGTAGCTATGTTTCCTGATACATGTAGGTAAATCTAATTTTACGAATACTGTTTGATTTTTATGTCTAAATCACGGAAATCAACTTGGCCGACAAAAATAATGGCAAATTGGAGGAGTCCGATACCCCCAAAATGTCGATCTGACGTGGTTATGTTTCTTGATACATGAAAATCTAATTTCACGAATAATGTTTGATTTTTATTTCTAAATCACGGAAATCAACTTGGCCGACAAAAATAATGGCAAATTGGGGGAGTCCGATACCCCTAAAATGTTTGCGAGTCGCCTGCGCGCATACGTGCCATTTCCGAGAAAAGTCGTAGAGGAAAAGTTGTAGGACTTGATGTAAGCAAGCCACTCACAAAGTATGGGGTTTACATGTATAACTGGAAAAAAAGGTCCTTGGATGGTTGACTAAAATAATATTGAAAATTGATAGTTATTTATTAATTATTATACAAGACGGTAAAAAGATGCTTTATAGTCCAGGAGGCAGTGAAATTTTTTATGCACTTATTTCCCCAGTTGGTATCTATGAAATAGTTTGTTCTCCTGGTGATAAAAAGCAAGAATTTTTGAGTCTGGCTAAAATTTTCGGATGGGTTCACAAGATCAATGAAAAATACAACTACGCTTATTTTCCCAGACATAAATATTTCACATTTACTACAATGGAACATAAAGTATATGAAAATAATAATTTGGCTTATCTCAGATAGTGAAAGTGAGTCTGGCTGAAAATTTTCGGGTCTTCAATTTTTCACTTGCCAGACATATTATTCATACTCACAGATTAGCCGGAAATTTTTTTTATGTAACTTCAGTATACTTCTCATTAGTAGACCTATTTTTATCACTGAGAAAAAAAGGCCGTGCATTCGTAAGCTTTATTGCATTTTGCGCCTCAACCCATCGGAAAACCCCCCCTAAAAATATATGTATTTTGCTTAGAATTACTTACCCTACAACTCTATCCAAGTTGTCTGACTGGGAAAATAAGTACCGAAAATCGTCACTGCCTCCTAGACTATTACCTGAGTGGAAAATGTTGATTCACGAACGACGAAGGAGCGAGTGGATTAATTTCACGAACAGGTAAAGCTTTTTTACCATCGTGTGTAATATTCTATTTTATTCTTGAGCAACTTTTTATTTATCACAATTACTAAAATCATAAACTAAAATGTGCTAAAATTTTACATAGATTATGACAAATTGACAAAGTACCTAACAAACTGACACATTTCTGGTGTTGTCAATCATGCAACATATCATATTTCTGTCAAAAATACTAGGCCTTTTCGGAAACATTGATCCGATTAACGGATCACCAGCTGATATCTTTTGTCTTTTTTCAATCGTATTCGTTAAAGGAAGATAAAATACAAACAGCTGGTGATCGGGTTAATCGTATCAGTGTTTCCGAAAAGGCCTACTATAATTATTATAAAGGATTTGAACAAGTGGGTGAAATTGACGTATGAGTGGGTAAAATTGACGTATGAGTGGGTAAAATTGACAAATGAGTGGGTAAAAATTGTTCGATTTCACTACTTCGAATAAAGTGTTACTTTAACAACGAGTTTTGAGTCGATTAAATGATAGTTTACCATTCGCGATAGAATAAATAATTTTATTTTTAATTATTGTATTTGTATCGGTAAATAGACCGCGCTCCCTGACTATTTATAAGTCTAGTTGAGCGGTTCTGAAACGCAGTCTTTTCAGAAACTCGCGGCTGCGACTGAAAAAGCGTCACAGCAAAGGCGTGCGATACTTGGCCAATGCCTCGTATACCACTACTGTAGTACCGCGGTACTGAAACGTATTGAAAAGTACTGAAACGAGAATGAAAATTGAAATGAAATGGAGAGACTTTGAAATGAAATGGAAAGACTAGCTGTGATAGCAGCGTAGCGTAGGTTCCGTGTCTGCCCTATGCACCAATAAAAGACGACAACTGGTAATACTGGTATTTAGCGATTTGGGTACCTATTTTGGGTATGCTTAGAAAAAAATGAATTCCTGCATAAATTATTTTAATTTTATCTAGATATTACTTTCTTTTAAAAATTAAAATTTATTTTCGACAACAGGTAATTAGGAATTCAGCCGAAGGACCAATTTGTTTACGCAATAGTATTTGAAATTTAGTAAACTCGACTGATTGGAAAATCGCGCAAACAAATTGAAATAGAAATGAAATTGATTCCATAGGGTTGTCGAAACACACAAAAGTTATTACCACTCACCTGGGTTTTCTTATAAGCTGTGCATATATATGGGGATCCCCTGGAAAACGGTTCTCCACAACCACCAACGTATCACCATCGACTTAAGGCACTCAAGGTCCCTTTTTAACGGCACAAGACATAGACTTCTCGAACGTAAAACACGGAACCGGTAGAAAATGCAACGTGCATATCAAGTACCATTTAGCTAGTGTGTAAATCCAAATCTTCAACAGCTATCTGCCTCGGTCGGCGCAGGATCATAGAAAATACACTCCTGTGTGTTTTACGCGAAATTGACATTTAAGTAATTCTTTAATAAGAATGAGAAGACACCAAATTTATAAATAATGTTGCGTTAACAATTATACTTGATTAGAATAAGCAAAACCAACTCACCAGATGCGGATTTATTGTTATCTAATATGGGTTTTGCAGAACTGTCCTGAGTGCTTGGAGGAATTTCTTCTTTACGAGATAACACATTTGACATTCCGAAGGAACAATAGACTTGGTTATTTCCTCCCTTGTCCTTGTCAGTTTCAATTTCCTCCAAATTTTGTTGAGCGATTTTCTCAACCTCTTCTATAGATGACCAGGAACTTAACACTTCGTTTTCTTCGACAAGAGATCCAACATCTTCAGATTTCGATAAAATTGAGTGATTAGAAGAAGTCGAAACAGTTTTTTCTTGAGATAGGCGTTGCTTTCTGGGAGACCGTTTCTCTTGAACATCTTGGGACGACAGAGCACGCGACTTGTCAGAAAACACAATTTTCGCTTCTGGAGAAGGTTGGGGTACATCAACTTCTTCCAGTGCTAAAGGTGAATAATATAATATGGTCCAAGTTGCTCACATTGTAAAAAAACACTATTCCGCTGGTGATTTAAAAATAGTATACTATATAGTAAAAATTAAAAGTACAAAACAACTTTTTCAAAATAATTCCGAAATATTGCATCAGAAATTCCTGCAGAAGCTTTAGTTTCAGTATCGTCCAGCTTTGTAAATTTTAAACCTACTTACCAGATGCGGTTTTCTTTTCATCCAGTTTGGTATTTGCAGAAATGTCGTCAGTGCTTTCTTCTGTACAAAATGACACATTTGACATTCCGGAAAAAAAATAATGGCTATTTTTCTCATCCTCTTCATTCGATATGATTGACTCCTCGGCAGACTCAATATGTTTCAAAGATTGTTGGGCATTGCTGTCGACATGTTCCTCGCAAGACTTATTTGTTTCTAAGTTTTTTTCAATCTCTTCCACAGATGACCAAGAACTGAATATTTCGTTTTCTACAAAGTTTTCTTGGGCAATGGGCACAACATCTTCAGATTTGGATAAAGCTGACTCTTTGGAAGAAGTAACATGAGAATCTTTGGAGGAGTTAGTTTTTTCCAGATTATTTCCTTGAGGCGACTGAATACTTGACTTGTCAAAAAATACAGAGTCCGCTTCTGGAGCTGGGTGAGATGCAACAGTTTCCTCCAGTCCTAAGGATAAATAATAAATATTGTTACGAAATTGCCTCGGGAGCCCGGCAGGATTCTAAGAATGCAATTGTATGCGCGTAGGGTAAACAAGTCGGAGAATAGGCCCCTTGCATCAAATTTTTTTATTGCTGATTTCGAGAGTCCATGAAAAATAAGTCAACACGTGTTTTTTCTTTTTCTTCTTAGTCAAAAATTGACGGAGATACAACGCTATGAAATATGCCTATGACGTCATCAGGTATAATACTTTATGACGTCGCACATGCTCAGTATATCTGTATATACAAAACTTAATATTTGTATAACTTCCGAAATAATCATATTTGGGCGAAATGAAAAAAAAGTAACGATTTTTTTCGATTTCCTACAGTTTGCAATAAACAATAATCAATTTAATTTTCCATGCAAGTACCCTATTCTATTCCAGAAGGGCGCCGGGCATTTTCTAGAAAAATCCCGAGTATCCCGAGTACACTGTCTGCTATAAATAGCGGGTAGTATAATAAGTGGAAGTCAGTCTAGTCAAGAGCTTTATTGAAGTTTGTCTAATAATATGAGTGTTGTAAGTCAGTTTTATTTCGATATTGTTGTCGTGTATGTTTCGATAAGTGATAGGTCAATTGGTTTCATAATACCCGCCCTAATATATTTAAAATACCAATACCTATCTCATAACCAAACAACAAAGTTATATGTATGAGTGTACACATTCATTTTCACAACAAAGCTGTTTAATAGATAGGTGGCTGTCATGGCCTGTTAAGTTGTGAAAACCCATTGTGAGGTGAGATAGAATCTAAAAATTCAAATTGCAGATGCTGTGAGCTGGACCTCTAAATCTTCCAGCTAAATGATCATAATTCCTTACTTTTTCATCTCCAGGCTTGAATTTGTTGCTACAAATACTATAAAAATCACATTTTTTAAATTCAGACTTCTCTTCTTTATTTGTAAGAGTCGGTACATGTTTAGACCAAAGTAGTAATCCACTACTAATATAGAGTCAGCAGATGAACATTTAATGAAGTAACCAAAAGCATATGGCTCATGTTTAAAAGGTATTTATAGAAAAAAAACTCGCATCATTTTTTGCTGATGAGAGTTTGTATTTTAGAGGTTTCAAAAAGCATTCAAAATCATTCAAATTGAAGAATATTTCCTGGGATATTTTGTCCGTATCAAAAAATCGCGTCCATTGCCTCCTAAACCTTATATTGTGCTGTGCAGCTAGTGGGCAACCCAAAAGAAATGATACTACTCAATGAATGGTAACTATATCAATAAAGTTTTTAATGGAAGGTTTTACATTTTCTCACTCCTAGGTGAGTGCTGATATTAAATAAATTCCGTTTTCGTGCGCGGAAAGAGAAAATACTACGCCAAGAAATATAAGGCATATCCAAATCCAATATACTATAGAACAAATTCAAATCCGCACTTAACAATAATAGAAAAAATATTACACTGTATACCTTTGGTGTTGATCGGCAACGTAGCCAAGGGTTCTTTCAGAATCTTTTTGCTGTAGTTTTCGGTCTTATTTTTTGGTGCACTTCCTGGCATTTCAACTTTTCGAGTAATCAGACGTTGACGTTTTTTGGGCGGAGAATTAGTGTCTGAATCCGAAGACGAGTTGGTTTTATCTAGAAAAGAATCATTTAATTTGAATAAATGCTAGCATTAATCTCCCACCTTTTGGAGTACGTATACGACGATACTTGGCGGGAGGAGGCGCAGTGTCAGAATCGGAATCGGAGGATGTATTATCTAGAAAACATTAAATGTAATTTGAATAGATGAATCACATGAAGGTATTTCAAGATCTTATACCTCTAGATATTTTTATAGGTAATCTAACAAGATTTACTCGTAAAATCTTGTTGAACATTGGTACCGGAGTATGGGTGGTCCCAATAATATCAGATCCAGAAGATGATATATTCTGATCAGGCGCAGGTTGCTGGGGTTTTGTAATTTGTTCTGGCAGAACGTCACTTGAAAATTTTTTTTTCACAACTTGTAATTTTATAGTAATAAAACTGCTTACCTAATATTTGCTTCAACTTCCGTTCTGGGCAATTCATTATCTTTTGGATCTTTCTGTATGATATGTTTTATACCCGAGCTTAATTTTTTTGTCTGTATATGAAGTGGTTTTGTTTGATCTGCAGAAGTATTGGCTGAAGCCTGTTCTGGCAGAATGTGACTTAAAAATTTGTTTTCACAACTTGTTAGCTGTAATTTTATAATAATAAAACTGCTTACCTAATATTTGCTTGAACTTCCGTTCTAGGTAATTCATTATCTTCTGGATCCTTCTCCGTGATATCTTTTATACGCGAGCCTAATTTTTTTGCCTTTATATGTAGTGGTTTTGCTCGATTTACAGAAGTTTTGGTTGAGTTGAAGCTCATCGAAGTACTGATTGCAGTTGTATTATTCCCATTTTTCAGTTTCTTCAGGAATCTGGCTAGGTGTTGCATTACTGCTTTGCTCAAAGTTTTCTTAAATAGAATTTATGCTAAGTGCAAAGTTCAAAAATTTTACTTCAAGTCAATTGTATGTATCACGATAATAGAGTATGCGCGCAACCATCCCTGTATTTTGAAAAACCCTAGTGACGTCAGTCAACAGTCCGAAGGAAGTCGCCCAGCGGATGGAGCGACACCTGTGGCAACAAATTAATCATTTAGCGACTTTTTGGGAGGTTCGATTGCATCTTGTCTTGTCCAGACTTGTCTTCCATAGCTTAGTTAATATTTTATATAAATTGGATTTGTAAACCTAACGATAATAACAAGTAAAATAACCCGGAGTGTTTGGTCTTATTTTTATGGTATATGTATATTATCCTTCATACGATTCACATTTTGGTCGTTTCGAGTCCGATGTGGTGGATTGTACAGCTACAGCATGGTACAGCTACACAACAGCGTCGTTGAAAGTTGGAAGAATTTTCTAGAAAAACCGAGTGAGTCGTTCCCAATGATTCCTTTTTGTAACGTTTTTATATTTTTCCCAAGTAAGTCTTATATTTGAACCAAGTTTTGTGTGTAATAAAAAAAAAAATTATTTATTTTATTTATCGTTCATTGATTTTACGAGTGATATTCGTTTATTTTATTGTAAATCGGCTGCTCGAGGGGGCGATTTATGAGGTATTTGGCTGAAATTTTGAGGTACTTTTGATTTTTACAAGTATTCGCTATAAACAATGGCGATTTGACGAGTTTCATTTATATTTTAGTAGTACAATTATTACAAGTTATTATCGCATTTTATCATTCTATGGCGATATTATTCCATAGTTTGGTAAGAGTGTTCAGTGTTGAATACTAAATTCTGTTTTTCGAGTGAAGTACGGTTTACGAGGATCAATTAGTATAAGTTTTTTGTGAAAGCCGGTTCAAACTTGAAACGAGTATTGTTTGGGCCAAGTTGTTGAATTCATTCAAGATTGGTTTGGAGGCATATGTATTGCTTGAGAGTTTTGAGAATCATTTTTTAAATATAGGGTGTTTCACGAACATCGAAACAGAGGCGTTTTAGGGTATTTTGAGGTCGATTTGAATAAAAATGCTCGGAGACGTCATTTTTAAATTCAAGAGGAAAACTTTTCGACCCCATCGGTATTTCGCTAGGGTGCGCTCCCTGGGTGGGGTGACTTTCACCCCTCTTTTTTAGATAGGGAAGATGGGTCGAGTGGTACCTTGTCTTAAAGATATTTTAATTCTCGTCACAACTATGTACTTTTTTTGCAAATCGAATGATTAGTTCTCAAGATATTCACTGTCAAATTTGCCATGGGCTAAATAGGAAACAATCTTCTGGCCTTGTTATTCTCAAATTAACGCTTTCCTGACTTTCTTCTTGGACACGTCAATTTTCTTTTTTTGTGTGCTTCCGAAAAAACTAGAATTGACATGTCCGAAAGGGAAGTCAGGAAAGTGTTAATTTGAGAATAACAGGGCCAGAAGATTGTTTCTTATTTAGCCTATGGCAACTTTGACAATAAATATCTTGAGAACTAATCATTTGATTTTCAAAAAAAAAAAAAAAAAACGTTGTGACGAGAATCAAAATACCTTTAAAACAAGGACCCATCTTCCCTATCTAAAAAAGAGGGGTGAAAGTCACCCCACCCAGGAGGGTACACCCTAGCGAAATACCGATGGGGTCAAAAAGTTTCCCCCTTGAATACAAAATTGACGTGTCCGAGCGTTTTTTTTTTTTTTTTAATCGACGTTAAAATACCCCCAAAACGCCTCTGTTTCGATGTTCGTGAAACACCCTGTATATAAATTTCTTTGCATTTTGCGATATAATGGATCCAAATTTAGATCCAGATATTTTGAGGCTCAGACGTGGACAGATAGGATCAGGTTTGAATAAATTAGAGGATATCATCTGTGACAAAAACAATTACTCTTGAATAACCGAAATAAACACTAGGTTAGAAAAAATACATCTTTTTTCTGAGTTTGACATGGTTCAGTCCAATTTAGAATTGAAAGACATCAAGGAATCTGATTCACGTGATGCTTTGGAAAATAGGTTTTATAAAAATTTAAGCAATGCAAAAGATTTGATTGCAGCTGGTATGACGCTAGTCAGTACGAGTCAGAGTAGTGGTATACAAGGGTCATTTGGTAATGTTGCAAGGTTACAGCCTATGTGTACAAACACAGTGCAAGCAGGTTTCCGCTTACCAGTAACCAGCGCCGACTCGCGCTTATAAGCGCGAAAAATGAATGCATGTTTTCAAATCGGCTAGTACACAGTAACAAATACTGTATTCCTTTTACCCGTTGAGTTACTCAGAGAAGCTCAGTGTCAAAAGCTTGAACGTTCCTTTTAAAAGTGCGTTAAGCACTCGAGTCGCTCATAGTGCATCCCCCTTTCCCCTGATGCACCAAATTTGCGGGGGGTGCAAGAAGCCCTTTTAGGTAATGACGGTGATGTTAATATTAAAAAATAATAATAAAATCTGAATTGTGTGTTTTGGAGTGACTCCGAGGAGCTCGTTCGGTGTAACTCGATGTATAAAAGGAATACAGTAAAACAGGTAGAGTACCCGCTTTTTACTGTGTTCTAGCCGATTTAAAAACATGCATTCATTTTTCGCGCTTATAAGCGCGAGTCGGTGCTGGTTACTGGTAAGCGGAAACCTGCTTGCACTGTGTTTGTACACTATTGAATTGCCAATATTTGAAGGTAGATTTCTCCCAAACTGGACAGTTTAACCAGGCGAAAATGGGAAAGCAGCATTACTGGTAGTAAAATGTCAACATTGAATCAAATGATGAAATTTCTAAAAAATCGTTGTTCACTTTTAGAGGCTGTTGATTTCAATAAACAGTCAAAACCAAACTATGGTCAACAAAGTGGTTCCTCAGATAATCGTAATAAACGTCATCCATTTGCAGCCTTCGAGAAAAGTTAAAACCAGGTTAAAGAACAATCTCAATCGAAGATTTTTTACTCAAAGGGTCTGCATACAGAGGGTTCACGGAATCAGTATAATACTGGCTCAAGTTCTTGCTATTTTTGCAATAAAAATCACGTTATTCATTAGTGTAAAGAATTTTCATATCTTACAGTCAAAGAAAAAATAGTTTAGGTTCAAAAGAGGAAACTTTGTTTAAACTGTTTACAAATGGGATATTTTAGAAATGAGTTAAAACATACATGTTGTCGTATTTGTAATCGAAAAAACAATACCTTGTTACATATGGATAAATCTAGGGATGAGAATAGTCAAGTTTTACAAACATCCAACATTTCTGCACATTCAACTTATGCTTATCATATAGTTCTATTATCTACAGCTGTCATTTATATTTTTGATAGGTTTAACCAGCCTCATAAATGTTGTGCACTATTGGACTCAGGGAGTCAGAGCAATTTTATCACCAAGAATCTGGTTGGCAGATTACAATTGTCACAAGATAAGACAAATATTTCTATATCACTGGAGTAGGCAAAAACTGATAGAAATTTCTAAGATACTTGTACTACAATAAAATCAATCAACAATAAATTTAATGTTAAATTTTCATTTTTAATTTTGCCAACAATCACTGAAAATATTTCATGTCAATCATTTGATTTGAGTTACATTTCTTTACCAAAAAATATTACTCTAGCTGATAATCAGTTTTATAAGTCTGGACCTGTTGATGTTTTCATTGGAGCTCAAATGTTTTATAATTTATCAGTTACGGGATCGTTTTCCTGCTGGCTTTGGTTTCTAAAACGTCCTCTTTCCTTGAAAAACAATCTGGCAGGCAAGTCCACTTTATTTAGAATAATTTTGTGCTTTGAATTTCTGGATCCTCCCTTATAGATTTTTCAATATTCAAATTATCATATCTTTATTAAGTTTTTACTTGATAAATCTTATCTTATCTGTTTTTGAAATATAAATATTATATTTTAAGTTTTTTTTATCTAATTGTTGGCTTCCATTTTGTGTGAATTGCTTATTAGTTAGTGCCACGTTTTGTTAATAAGAGGTAAGTCAACACAGATTTTTGAATTTTAGATAGGTACTGTTGCTCTGGTTTTCAGAATCTACTTTTAGTGTGGGAATATTGGACCATTTGCTCTAAATAGAGTCGGTAAGAACCAAATTTGTGAGTCCATTCCCATTAACTCTTTATTGAATCCAGGCAGAGGCGTGAACAACCATTTTCTGTTTGACTCCCCAAATTATTATCTCAACTAAAGGGTGTAATTTTTTTTAATAGAAATCCAGACAGGTCAAAAATTCAGTTAAAAAGTTTTAATTAAAACTCCTCAAGAATTTTGACACATTCTAAATTTGATTAATTTCAACCCCAGGTTTATCTAGTATCTGTGGTAGCTACCTGAACTCGAGAGGAAAATTTTGTCTATTTAGGGGAGAATCCAGAGATTTCATTTCTTATTTTTTTTACCTACCTTATTTTTGCTCATATTTTTGCCTGCCAGAACTGCTATCAGGAAAGTAGCATTTTGCTCAATTATAACGAGCATTTTAATTTAATCTTGTTATTAGTCTAATTTTTTTTATTATCTTACCATTAATCTTAATTATTTGTTTTTTTTTTTATATTAAAATATATATCTTTTTCAACTTGCAATAACTGTTCATACCTGATTCTGTTGGAAGGGAGTGTCTGTGCAACAATCATTTTATATTAAATTTCAATTTAAATTTTCTCTGCAAGACACTCACTTTTTTGACAGAATTCAGGGATTTAATATTCCAAATATTGGTGAACCTGATACTGCCTTATTCTTTTCTGGGTACCTACTCTACATAAAGATCACTGTTTGGAGTCTGGATCAGCTGGAGTGACGTCACTCCAGCAATCTATCCTTTTCCTGGATACAGGAAACCACACGAAGAGCTCCAGTTCACGAAAGTGAAACCCCAACACCCACTGAAGAGCTCCAGATTGAAAAGTTATATGGTGTCAGATTCACCAGGGCCGGTATTCTGGTTCTCAAAAACGCTCAC